GGTCCGCTCCCCAAGGGCCAGGGGGGCCCTGTCTTGCGAACCAGAGGATCGGGAGAGGAACGGGAGAGGGAGGATCGGGACGGGACGAGAGGAGGGGGGAATGGGAGAGGGAGGATCGGGAGAGGGAGGAGGAGGAGGAACGGGAGAGGAGCAGGAGGAGAGGGAGGGAGGGAGAGGGAGGGAGGGAGAGGGAGAGGGAGAGGGAGGAGGAGGAGGAGGGAAGACCAGGAGAGGGAGAGGGAGGGTCGGGAGAGGGAGGATCCCCAGGGGGAGGAGGAGGAACGGGAGAGGGAGGATCGGCGGCGCGCCGAGGGGGGCAGCGAGAGGGGCGGGCCTTCTCAAGAGGCCGCCAAGAGCACTTCCGAGAGGGGCCCCCCAGGGGGCAACGATAGGGGGGAGAGGCACAGGGGGGGGATGCATCGACCCCCAATCACCCATTGATCGCTGATGGGGGCCCGATAGCCCCAACCCGCCCAGGGAGGTGCGGATTCACTATCGGGGGCCTATCGCCGATCAATCGGCGATGTATCGCCGATTCCAGGTCGATGCATCCCCCCGTATGCCCATCCCCCTTATCGTTGCCCCTGACCAGGGGGCAAAGTTCACTGCATTTCCTCACGTGTCTGGGGGCGTCTTGGAGGCGTCTTGGGCCGTCCGGAGACCATCGTGGGGGTCCAGAAGGCGGCGGGGCCGCTCGGAAGCATGCTGGCCTACTTCCGATGAGCCCGCAGAAAGTTTTCTGGAAGGCCGCAGGCCTTCCAAGCCTTGTGAGACGGCCCGTCATCTGGGCCTTCCTCTCGTGGGTGCGCCGCCAGGAAGTAGCAATGGGGAGGATCGAGGAGGAGAGGGAGGAGGAGAGGGAGGAGGAGGAGGAGCAGGAGGAGGAGAGGCAGGAGGCGGAGTAGGAGGATTAGAGGAGGAGGTGGAGGAGGAGGGCGTGGGCCGGGGGAGGGCGTGGGCAGGGGGGGGCGGGGTGGGCAGGGGGAGGGCAGGGGCAAGGGGAGGGCATGGGCAGGGGGAGGGTGGGAGGAGGGGGGAGGAGGAGGAGGAGGAGGAGGGAGGAGGAGGAGGAGGAGGAGGAGGAGGAGAGGAGGAGGAGGAGATGCAGGAGGAGGAGGAGGAGGAGGAGGAGGAGGAGGAGTCTCTCAGCACTGCTGTCAGTAGTTTTTCCGGCCCAGCACGGCTGTCACCAGTTTTTCCGGCCCTGGTCAGCCAGAGTGGCTCCGCACCCGCGCCCCTCGCGCACATGTCTGAGCCTCGGCAGGCCCGCCAAAAGCCCGCAGCACCCTTCCGCCGATGCCAGCCCGCCCTGGCCTGACGCCAGCACCCGCGTCAGGCGGCGCCCGCGTGGACCAGCGCGCAGGGGTCGCACGTAGCGTCCGTGGGGGATGGGAAGAGGACGAGAAGGCGACACCACCACCACCACCACCACCACCACCACCACCACCACCACCACCACCACCACCACCACCACCACCACCACCACCACCACCACTTGGGGGGTCACTTCCAGCGAGGGAGCTCACGATGCTTCCCAGAGCTGGTCTCGGGGACGTCTCGAGCGAGAGGGGGGGTGGCATACTACAAGGAGGTTCCTCCCTGGCGCCTCGCGCCCCAGACCCCCGACGTCGCGTTTTGTTTGCACCGTCGAGTCCCAGAGGTCTGGACCCCTTCGCCAGGACCCGTTTCTCATCCTGAATCGTTATTTAACGGTCCCAGGGCCCGTGAAGGGCCCCCAGAGGCCGAAAATAGTGGAAAAGTGCCCCCTCGTGATTTTGCAGAGCGCGAGGGGCTCTAGGGCTCGTGGTGGTGGTGGTGGTGGTGGTGGTGGTGGTGGTGGTGGTGGTGGTGGTGGTGGTGGTGGTGGTGGTGGTGGTCGCCTTCCCTTGTGCCTGGGGGAGGGCCTGGAAGTGGAGGGCGCGCGCTTCAAATGGCGCACTGCTGCGCCCGAGGGGTGCTGCTGCTCGTGTGGTGGCCGCGCGAGGAGCGGAGGTTGCGGCCGCTGGGCCCCTCGCGGGTGCCCGCCGTGGGATGGGCTCCCTCTGGCGGTGCGCTTCTCGGCTCAGCCCCCTCCGCCTCCCAGCAAGGTCGGCGGCGAGCGAGGGGGGAAGCGAGGAGGAGGCCTTCTCGGAGGCTCGGGAGTTCCCCGGCCTTCTGAGAAGTGGCCGAAGCCTTATCCACAGGCGCAGGACACCTCTCAGGGGGCGCGAGGGTTCTGAGAAGTCCCGCCGCCTTTGAGAAGGCCTCCTCCTTCTCACTTGCCCCCTCCTCGCTCGCCGCCGATTCTGGCGGTGCGCTTCTCAGCTCAGCCCCCTCCGCCGTCCAAAGGCTTCTTTGGCGACTCGAAACTTCGCGCCAGAAGTCTTTCGCAGTCTTCGCCCCCCAGTCCCTCCTTCTACCTCGTCTCCTCAGAGCCCCGAGCACTGCTGTCGGTAACTTCTGCAGAGCTCCGTCGCTTTATAAAGCTTGAAAGTCCGCATTGCTTGGTTGTTTTATGGTGATTAGCTCGACAGGGAGCACAGCATGGCTCGCCGCAGCTTGTTGTATCATACAGCGCAGGCGTATTATCGGAGATGCCTGCGGCGACTCCCCGCCGCCCCCTGCCTTGTGGAAACGCCCATGCGGCCAAACGTTGGGCCGAAATGTGGCCAAGCTATTAGACGATGTGTGCCACCAGCTGTTGCGGAACTACTTGGGGGAACACTTGGGAGAGGAAGAAAAAGGAGGACGAGAGGGAGGAGAAGGATGACGAGGAGGAGGGGGAGGAACAAGAGGATGCCTCTTGAGACCCTCTTGGGGCCTCTCTTGGGGCCATCTGGAGGACTTGGGGGGGCTGTCCCGGGGCGACTTCGCGGGACTGCTGAGTTGTCATAGACACCTCCCCCCCACAGATACAAGACCTCCATGGGGCCCACGCCTCGAAGAAGTTGGGGCGGCGGGAGATTTGGGGAGCACCAGAGGAGGAGGAGGAGGAGGAGGAGGAGGAGGAGGAGGAGGAGGAGAATGAGGCGCGGTGATCTGGGAAAACGCAACCCTGAGATCCGACGTTGCAAAACAGATGCAGCATCGCAACAGAAAATGACGCACGGACCCCAGGAGGGGTTAAGAAATGGGCCCAGGAGGCTTCAGACCCTCGAGGATGCCTTCTCCGCTGAAGGTAGCAGTGAAATCCACGGCCAAGCCTCAATTTGTGGTGCACAGGCTTCCAGACCCACGATTTCTCATCTCATGATTCCTTGTCCATTGCCTTCATGCAATGTGAAAATCAGTTAGAAACATAATACGCGCGCCTAGCATGCAGAAATGAATGCAATACCCAACAGCAGTTCCTGGTCATTCAGGACAGGATTTGCAGTCAAAGTGTCAGCTTACCGTGTCTACGTGATGGCCTCCCTGAATAGTTTGTCAGTTGGCCTTGCTCATGTGTCATACTGTCTTCTCCAGTTGTCAGCGTTTCTCCCTCATTTCGGACCGGCTTCTGCTGCCGGGCATCGGATCCATACTTTCCGCACCCATCCCGGTCGTGCAACCATCAGGTCGCCTCGGGAGAGTCACGCGGGGATCCTCAAGACCGCCCAGAGGTGCTCATGAGCTAGGGGCCTGGCAGAAGTCAGTGTTTCTTTCTGCGGCTCCGTGCTAGGCCTCGAAAGACCGCAATATAGAACCAGCATGGCCAGCCAGGGAGTTCATGCATGCATGTAGGACCACATCGGGCTATGATCCTGTGGAAGGCTTGTGAGACCATACGCAGCGCAGAAATGAACAAGACCACCCTCCCCCGCTAAATCAGCAAAGCAAGCTAAAGCCGCTTTCACCCTCCCTGCCTCTGCTTAGAGACTATCGCTGAACTTGTGGGGGGACTCGTTCGGTGGCCCGAGGACGCTCCACTCAGTGCCGCGCGACACGGTGGCGGATTGATTGTCAGACTATGTGCATCCGCATGTCTAACAGATGGGAGTTGGCGGGAAATCTCGACCAATCCCCATCGTCCTCGGGATGCTGAGCTTAGCGTTCTGGGCCGCGCCAGTGTTTCACCCAGAGGGGCCAGAACCCTTCGCGTTCCCAGCAGCGATGTTACTCGAACTCCGCAGACGTCGAGAATTCGTTGACTCGCGCACGCGTCGGCGCACAGGGTTCCCGCTTACCCGAATCTGCCTCAAGTCTCGCACCGCAATTTGGCTGGAGAAGGGCGGCGAGCAAGCGCTGCTGTTCCCCAAGCAGTGCTTGCCCTCAGGGGTTCTTATTTGCGCTTTCCAGGAATTGAATGGGTGTCCCGGGGATTCGCCGCGCTCGGGCCCGATGCCGCCAGTGGCCGCCTGTCGGGGTGTCCTGTGGATTCGCCACCTTTCGGCCCGTTGCCGCCCGTTGCCATCGCTGCCTGCGACCCCCCCCCCAAACCGAAATTCGGGTCTTCGGGTCTTCGGGTTGGGTTGGGGTGGTCTGGTACTCCAGATTTCGTAATAAAGGGAGGGGGGTCTCATTTCGGGGGGGTCTCTTCCAGGCTATCTTGGAGGGCCTGGGGGGTCTGGGTACGATGTTTGGGAGGGTTCTCCCACGGGTGAGGTCTGAAATGGCTCGTCTTGGAGGGTCCAGACCCCCTCCCTTTTATTACGAAATCTGAAGTAGCCACACGCTTCGTGGCCGCATAGGGGGCCCCACTGAAAGATCCAGAGGCGGTGTTCCCCGCGTCCCCCGCGACCAGTGCAGCGTTTCGTGGTCTCATGGGCGACGTTCGAATGTGTTCCTGCGTCCCCCCACCCACCCCGTACAGCGGTTCGTGGCCCCATAGGGGGCTCCACCAAAGGCCTCACTTGCCGCGGCCGCACGCGGTTTCCCCACACAGTGCAGCGCTGCGTGGTACCATAGGGGGCTCCTCTGAAGGCTGCAGTGGCCGCGGCCGCGTGCGCCTCTCCCACCCAGTACACACAGTACAACGTGTTGTGGCCCACAGGAAACTCCACCGCAGGCCCCAGCGGCGACGTTCGCATGCGTTCCCCCACCCTCGCCCAGTACAGCGCTCCGTGGCCACATAAAAGAGCACTCCGCCGAAGACCCCAGTGGCCGCGACCGCGTGCGTCTCCCCCACCAATTACGGCCCACCCCTCACGCGGTTCGTGGTTTCGGTGCCCACAACGCAAGTTTCACACTTGCATATGCGTGGGTCCTTGGCCTGGGGGGTGCAACAACATGTGTGGCTGGTTTCTTGGATTCTCGCGCGTGCGCACTTCCTTCTCATTACTCTCATCAGCGCCACCGCATCACCGCCACGGTCAATTGCCCCCATTGCCGCCGTCATCAGCCAACCACTTTCCTCACCGACGCATGAGCCTCATCATCGTCATCGCCGTCACCAGCATCGGTGCCTTCATTGGCCTTACCGCCGCCATCGCCACCATCATCGCTACTAGCATCTGCCGTTGTCAACCGTTGCCGACGTCATCATGATACCGCGTCCGCCCGAATCACCGACCCGCACTGTAACGCCCGCGCGTCAGTGCTGTCTTTGAGACGCGCTGGGGATTCCACGTGGGTGGGCGCCAATACGGCCGCGTCGGGCTGTTTCAAACCAGTGGGCCGCTTTGCGCGCAATCCTGCGCGCGCTAGCGCAGCCCCAGATGCGCTGCCAGTGCCAAATAGTCACCGCAATCGCGGCCGCATGGGTTGGGCAATGCAAGCTACGGGTGGGAGGGTGGGGCGATTGCGCTGGTATTGGGTTCGACGGTGTCAAAATATGCATGGCGGATTGCGTCATGCATCTGGCACTTCTTTCATGATTTCAGCCACATTGCACCACGTTGCTTAAGCCGCACATCGCACATGTCGTAGCCCACAATTCATCGGTTCTTCTTTCCAAGCGAGTAATCGATCTCCCCCACCCCTGGAATTACCGATCCACTCTCATTTTTGCCGTATCGCAATTTACTTATGATCCCAGCCCAGCTGGTATCGACCACCCCCCGCCATCCCTTGCAAATAAGACTATGCGCGCACTCTTGCTCACCAGCAGTCACGAATTTCTAAGAACCCCTTGCAACCAGTGGAACGAAGTGCACATGCGCGCGTGGTCGCGCGCGCATGCCGACACCGTTAAAACAGACCGTCGGTTTAGTAATGACTTCAAGGTCGAATGCCACGAAAACATCGAAAACGCATGGTTTTGCAACAACAGTTGTCAACACACATTGCGCCCGCGCTCTTGCGAATTCTTAACAAAGTCATAGGTGATTTGATTTTGTAGTGACCTCCGGCCAGTGCCGCCGATCCGGGGCGCTCCTGATGCTATTGTTGTTGACATGGACGATGACGACGACAACGGACGACCAACGGTCGACGAGCGGGATAATTACGACGACGACCGACGAAGGAGTTAATGACAACGAACCGACGACGGCGGCGACGACGACGACGACGACGACGACGACGACGACGACGACGACGACTGACGGCGAACGGCTGCCGACGGCCGACGACCGACGACTGGTGACGGCGACGGGTGGAAGGTTCTTCGTTCATCGCTTTCGCTTCCAAGCAATACAAAGACAGGCCGTGTACCTTTGGCCTGGCAACACGCGAGTGAGCGCCTCTTGGGGCCTCTTGGTTCTTGGGGTTTCTTGGGGGCCTTTGGGGCCTCTTGGGGGCCTCTCGGGGTCCTCTTGGGGGCCTCTTGGGGACCTCTTGGGGGCCTCTGGGGGCCCCTTGGGGGCGCCTCGGGGGCGTCTTGGGGGCTCTTGGGGTCATCTTGGAGTGGAGGACTAAGAAGGGTCCGTTCGGGTTCACCCTCTTGAGGCCATCTTGGGGGCCTCTCGGGGTCGTCTTGGGGGGCCTCCAGGGTTATATTGGGGCCCTCTTGGGCCGTCTTGGCTCCTCTTGGCGGCCTCTTGGGCTGTCTTGGGGCGATATTGGGGGCCTCTTGGACCGTCTCCGGCGCTTCTAAGACGGAAAAGGCGATAATGTTAAAATGTTTCAAAGCCTATTACCCCAGTGCGACCCTACCTAGAAGCTGGAGCCCCTCGGAAAGCTGCATTAGTTGCTATGCTATGCTATGCCATGCCATGCTATGCTGCGCTATGCTATGCTATGCTATGTTATGCTATGCTATGCTATGCTATGCTATGATATGCTATGCTGCGCTATGCTATGCTATGCTATGCTATGCTATGCTAAGCTATACTATGTCATGCTTCGCTGTGCTATGCTAGGCGATGCTATGCTATGCTATGCTATGCTAAACTGCGCTATGCTATGCTATGCTATGCTATGTCATGCTATTCTATTATATGCTATGTTGCGCCATGCTGTGCTATGATGGGCTTTGCTATGATATGCTGTGCTGCGCTGTGCTGTGCTACGCTCTGCTAGGATATGCTGTGCTCTGCTATGCTAAAGCTCAGTGAAGCTAAGATGAAGGTAAGCTATCTAAGATACACCTGAGCTAAGATGAACCTAAGCTAAGCTAAGATGAAATTAGCTAAGCTAAAACGAGATAAGCAACGCTAAGCTAAGGGGACGTAACTGGGGGAACCGCGGGGCGGATACTGGGGGAACCGCCCGGGGCGCATTACACTGCCCGGCCCTGTACGCACACCGAGTAAGAACCCGTCTAGGCAGAGCCTAGGTAGGGAATTAGCAATTTTATTATTGTACACTCTTGGGGCCCTCGCCTCTTGGGGGTCCTCTTCGGATCTCCTTGAGGCGTCTTGGAGGCCTCTTAGGCCGTCTTCAGGCCATCTTGGGCGTCCAGGAGCGCTCGTGGGCCGTTTCGGGCGCCTCCTGGACCGTCTTGGTGGCCTCCTGGGCCCCTTTTGGCCCGTCTTGGGGCGGTTTGGGATTCCCGGGGGGGGGGGAGAAGAAAGGGTGGACCCGATGAACCCCCCCCCCCTCCCCCCCCCACCCCGGCAGAGCCACCCCGGCCCCCCCCCAGCAGAGCTGAAGCTCAGGTTGTAGCTTTCTTTTACTCACACGCCGGGTCGGCGGACCCTTGCGCGCGTGCTGTCGCAAGAACCCCCTGGCACCAAATCTGACGAAGTGTTCGCGAGCGTCGCCGCGCGCATGCGCAACGCCTCGGCACAAAGCCTTCGGATGCGTACGGGTTTCAAAACCGAGTACTCTGAACACATGTGAAACATACACGGGTGTGCAACAACAGTTTTCATAACATCCAGCGTTCGCGCGCATGCGAGTTCTTCCGATAATCGTAATGTTCCAACATGTTCATCCAATTCTGCCAAGCGGGCCTCTCGCACCGAATGTTGAACTCATTCGAACGCCCTTGCGCGCGTGTTGGGGGGGGGACGATCCGTGTCAACTAATACCACGCGGGCCAATCGCGCGCGTCGGCCGCGCGCGCATGTCGAACTCCTTCAAGAACCTTCATCGCCGACGCGAGGACATCGTCATCGTTATTGGCGAGTGTGATCTACATCGGCGCCGTCATGTGTCTTGCCGTCGTCACGCCACCTTCGTCATCATCGCTGTTTTTCAGAGTCGTGTCTACCGTTGTCGGCGTCGCCATGATACCGCGCCCGCCCAAGCCACCGATTCGCATTGAATTGCCCGCTGGGAAGTGCCCAGCGGTCAGCGCAACCGCGGCCGCGTCGGTCGAACTATATATATATGTATATATATATATATCTATGTATATATACACATCTGTGTATATTGCATCACATGGGTTGCACCACGCAGCTTGCACTGACTAGCTTGCACCAAACTGCACTGCATGTGTGGCGCCACGTAACCTACTTCTCTGAACTGACACCACAGATTTCGCTCCTTGTGTTTTCCAGTATATACACGTTACGCATTCAATGTTTGGTGGCGCCCTGGCGAAAGCATAAGTTAATGTCCTCCTTCTCCTTATATGTGTTGTTAATTGTTTCACAGTTCGCAGTACTGTCGTTATTTGTCGTATTGTGATTGTTTCTTTTCGCTTTTAGCATTATTCCCTACCCTGGCTCTGCCTAGAAGGGTTCTTACCCTGTTGGCTTGCAGTGCCGGGGAGTGGACCTCGCCCTGGGCGGTTCCCCCAGGATCCGCCCCGCGGTTGCCCCAGTGACGCTCCCTTGCCTTAGCGTTGCTTATCTCATCTTAGCTGAGCTTACTTCATCTTCGTTTAGCTTAGCTTCATCTTAGCTCAGGCGTAGCTTAGCTTAGCTGACCTTCATCTTAGCTTCGCTGAGCTTTAGCATAGCAGAGCATAGCGTTGCTTCAGCTTAGTTTTAGCTTATATTCAGCTAAGCTGTCGCTTAGCTTTAGCATAGCTTTGTCTTAGCTTTAGCTTAGCTTTAGCTTAGTTTTACCTTATATTTAGCTTTAGCTTTAGCTTAGCTTTGTCTTAGGTTTAGCTCAATGTTTGCTTAGCTTTAGTTTAGCTTCAGCTTAGCTGTAGCTTAGCTTCAGCTTAGCTGTAGTTTAGCTTCAGCTTAGCTTTAGCTTAGCTTTAGCTTAACTCTAGCTTAGCTTTAGCTTAGCTTCGGCTTAGCTTTTAGCTTAGCTGTAGCTTAGCTGTAGCTTAGTTTCAGCTTAGCTTTCGCTTAGCTCTAGCTTAGCTTTAGCTTAACTTTAGCTTAGCTTTATCTCAGCTTTAGCTTAGCTTTACTGTTGCTACTAATGCTGCTTTCCTAGGGGCTTCAACTCCTAGATCGGGTCGCGCTGGGATAATTATCCTAGCGGGGGGGCGGCATGGGGGGGGAGGGCGGGCGTGGCCCCAACGGGGGGAAAGGGGCGGAGGGGTGCGGGGTCCTGGGGAACCCGGGGCCCATCGCCGCGAGGCCCAGCTCGGGATTTAGGAAACAGGTGTAAGGTTTGACGGGGGTCTGTCGATCTCTCTTGGCTGACGCGGGTTTGGAGAGCAGATCAGACCTCTCACTCCAATCCGCGTCTGCGGTGGTATGGTAGATGTGCGCTCAGACTCTGACGTCAGCCGGTGCCATTTTCAAGTTGGCCCGCTGCCTCCGATGTTGTTCCTATCTGGCAGAGCCCAAAGGGGCCATCTCTGGGACAGTGAGCTTGGAGCGTCGTGAGCGCCACAGAGCTGAATTCTTTCAGACGCGCGCAGCTGACATGCTACGACGCGCAATTCAACTCAACAGTTACATTTTCAGAGCTTGCACCTGCAAGCAACACCGACAGCCGCTTTGGAATTGACTCCTTCTGGCAGCGCACTACTCGTTTTAATTTCTCCTTCCTCCTCCTTCTCCGCATCCACTTTCTTCACCCATCCGTCATTCCTCGCTCTTTTTCAAAAAGAAAGCAGCTTTGCTGTCATCAACTTCTGCCGCGTTCGTCGTTTCAGGAGAGCCGGAGCATGACCACGACCGCGGGGCCCATCTTGCTCTGCCCGAGCCGGGGCCCCTTGCGAGCGCTCTGTCTCCGATGTCTAGAGACTGTCTATTGATCCCCGAGCGATAACGGGCGTGGCCAGGGGGGGAAGGGGGGAAGGGGCCTGGTCATGTCACGCTTCGCGCTGGCGCCATCCGGGAATGCTGAAGAGTGGCTAGTTTCCAGGCGGCGCGTGCGCGAGTTGTGACGTGACCACCCCCGCGCCCCCCTGCTGGCTCGAGCGATTGCTCATGTACCAGTGCAGAGGACACGCAAGCAAGGGACCTGAATGATTGCAGAGAGTTGTCTGGCTCCAGGACAGTAGCGCGAGTAGGCCCAATCTGGGCGTACTGGGCTCAGTGTGTGCTGTCACGATGCGCGCAGGGCTCACTTCTGGCGAGTGCCAGCCCGATGGGGGCTTTTCCCCAGCGAGCTCAGTAACAAGGCGGCCGTCTGTGGAGTGGCTGCCGGGGCGCTGGTGGTGTCGAACGTCCACGCCCATCGCCACGGATGGTGAACGTGAAGATTTCCAACCTGGCATCCGACCCTGCATCCAGCCGGCCGTTGCCTGGATGGCGCTCAGCGTCTTCCTCTTCTGGTGCACTCTTGTCGGTCCCGCGGCTTTCTGGCAGAGGGCCGTCCTCAGGGGGCACCATGAAAACGGCGACCTCTGGGTGACCACCTCGATAGGCTTCAGGGGCCTCTTCACGCAGCTCTCGACGCCTCTGCTCGGCGCCGCCTCCGACCGCTGGGGCCGAAGGCTGGCACAGGCGCTGCTGGTTGCCGCCTACTCGCTGTGGCTGGTTCCCCTCGCCATCGCACCCTCTGCCGCGTGGTGCGTCGACCTGAGCGTCGTGCTGATGGCTCTTGCCGGACTGGGGGGCTCGCCCTTCTACGTGCCGTTCGCGTACTGCGCAGACCTCACCCCCCAGAGAGAGGCGCACCGGCTGAGCGAGATGAACGCGAGAATGCTCGCCGCGGGCTTCTCCCCCGCCTTCGTGCTGGCGCCGATCCTCTGCGACCTCCTGTTTCGGATGACGAGCGATCGGGGCGGGTGGTGTGTCCTCCTTGCCGTCTCCTTGTTCAACCTCCTCTTTGTCATCGGGTTGCTGCCTGAAAGCCTTGGCGCGAGGAGCTCGCCAGTGACGCCGAGATCCCGTCACAGGCCCTCTCTGGCTACTGCGGGTGCGGGCGCGGCGATGACGCTTCCGCAGACGAAGCTCAATCCGTGCTTCTATTTCCGGCTCTTCTCTGCAGGTGGCCCCGCAGGGTGCCACGCCGCAAGGATCCTTCGCCAGCTTGCTTGCATCGTCTTTTTTCTTTACCTTGCAAAGATGACAATCATCAGCTGTTCAATCCTTTTTGCAGAGGAGCGCTTCGGGTGGTCTCCTCAGGATGCGGGGTTGCTTCTGAGCTTGTGGGGATTCGTTCAATTTGTTTCGCTAAGTGCCCTTGCATCCGCTGGCAGATGCCAGTGCCAATGGGCACACGACGAGCGCGTTGTGCTGTGGATTGGGACTGGTGCCGCACTCCTCTCGATGATGCTGTTTTCAGTCACGACGCATGGTTGGCTTCTTGTCGTCGCTATGGGCGTCGGTGCTGTGTCCATGGTATCCCTCACTGCGATCACAGGTTACGCGGGGCGGCTCGTCGGCCGCTCCATGCAGGGGGAGATCCAGGGGCTCATGAGCACTGTGCTCGCGCTGACGGAGATCCTGGGTCCGCCCCTCTTTGGCGCCTTGCTAAGCTGGGGCAGAAGCCGTGCTGCAGTAGCCTGGTGGCTCCCCAACGCGCCTTTTGTCGTGGGCAGTTTTTCCGTTATCGTTGCCATGGGGTTCACCTTGGGCTTGCCCGGTGCGGCAGACGCCGTTCAGCGCTGCAGGCAGTTGGAGAACGGCATTGCCACGCAGGCGCCGCAGGGCTGAGAGGGACCCTCTCGCAATAATCTGTCGCTGACATTTGTCATATCCAGGCTGCACTGGCTTCGTGGACATGGTGGAAGTGCCGTATGCATGTACATACATTTTGGTGCATGTGCTTAAACGCCGACACACGCAGAGATGTCTGCTCACTATGGTACTAGCTTTATTGAGAATCAGTGCCGCCGTAATTCAACTTCACCGTACAGCACCATGTGTTTTGGGACAGGCGCAATGGTACCCACGCGCTAGTTTGATTCTTCAACGTAGCAGTCATGGAGGCGTAGTCTGAGTGTGTAATCGCGAGCTGCCACCAGTCTCATAATGACACCGCATCGGCAGCTTGACAAAAACAAATGCCCCCCAAAAGGCTTCCCAGGGACCCCCAAGAGGTTCCAAGGAAACTCCCCAGAGCCTCAGGAGGCCCTGGCGAGAATGTCAACTTCATTGATGTTCCGAAGGTTTGGGCAGCAGTTTGGCTTCCTGGGGGGGGGGGGGATTTAGCACGGCCCGTCCGTTGATCGATCTCCCCCGAAACAGCCCCAATCTGGCCCCCGAGGCTCCCAAAGGTGCCCAGGAGGCCCTAACAGGTCCCAAAACGCACCCGTGATGCCCGCCAAGAGGCTCCCGAGAGACCCCCAAGAGGCCCACCAGAGGCACCCATGACGCCCCAAGAGGCCCCCAGGACGGCCAAGAAGCTTCAAAGACACTCTCGAAAGATATCCCACGAGGCTCCGAGACATCGTGCGGCTTCTCTGGCCTTTCTGCTCGCCCTCCTCCTCTTCCTCATCTGCCAATTCCTCCTCCTTTCTCCTCCCTCCTCCCCCCAATCTCCCTACTCCTCCTCCTTCTCCTCCGAGTCCTCCTCCATCCTTCCACTCTTGGGGTACGACGTCTTACCCAGCCCTTTATTCCACCGCGTGCTCCTCCACATCCCTGATCAGGGCAACTCGTTTGGGCATCGTTTCTGGATGGGTTGATGGGGTTACGCGAAGCTTCTACAACATATATACGATGGCGGCATCGAGCAGCAATACATCTAAACATGCATCCACGCCATAGCCTAGCATAGCGCAGCTTAGGGAACTGGAATCACAACACACGTCACATCAGAGCGTCACCCAGAATAGTGCACCACAGGATGGTACAACACGCGCGCGGATGGCATGCCACCGTACCGCTTGGCTTCAACTGCTTTGGTTCGTGGATCCCTCAAGCTCGGTGTTGGGATCCTCGTTCGGCATCGTGTCGTGCGTCGGCGCGTCATCGCGGTCGCCTTCTCGTATTGTTTATTTCGCTTCTTCTTGGACTTGCATCTTCGGAGGCAGGTCACCGTCCCAGTCCTAGTCCCCTTCCCACCGTTTCCCTCGTCTTCCTGCCCCTCACGATTCCCCTCTCCTTCCCCGCCCTCCCCTCCCCACCCGCCCCCCTCTCCCCACCCTTGTTCTGCCTTCTGCGCGGGGCGGAGGAGGAAGACAGAGCACCAGTGACCGATGGGTCTGCCGTTCAGGCGAGGGCCCCTTGGAAAAGACTTGCCCTGCATCCGTCCAGCGCGCAGCCACGAGCGCGAAAATATGATATGACACTTCAGCGGGGTTCCCACCGAGACCTCCGTCTTGACAGAGCGGCGTTCCCCATCCGTGCAGCTGCTGCGCAAGTGTACACGCCTGGCCATGTACTTCGAGAGCATCTCACACGAGATTCCAAGATTGAGACGGAAACGTCCTCCGCCCTTGCAGTTGACAAATGTGTTTGAGCTTCGGCCTCTCAAGCGAAAGGAAGTCAAAGGCGACAGCCCCAGTTTGAAACGATACCTCCATGCACACCTGAAGCTGCTGTAAGCTTTTAAGGCGAATGTGCGCGGCGCTCATGCGAGAGTCCCATGTTGAAACCACCTCATCCATGTTGAACGTTGCTGCAGCAGCGAGGCGCCACGGCGAGAGCCCCATTTTGAAAACGGCCTATCCTCTGGGTTCGAAGCTGTTGCAGACTTTTTCACACCGAAAATGCCCGGTGCCATTGCGACAGCTCTGTTTGGAAAAGGGGGGCCCTCCACCTTGGAGGCTGCTGCAAATTGTGAAGACGAGAGTGGGCGGGGCCCAGGCGGGAGCCCAACTTGGCATACGACCCCTCATCCATCCTTGCAGAAGCTGTTGAAAACTTGTGGGGCTAGTGCGTGCGACGCCAAGGCGAGAATCCCATACTGAGAACGGCACCCCTCAATCTTTGAAGCGGTTGAAACTCCCATGTTGCAGGATTGTACACGGTGAAGGAGTTTCAGAGGCAACGCCCGACCCGCCCTGCCGACACGTCTGAGGGGCGCGACAGGGAGGAGCTACTTCCTGAAGAAAAGGAATGGAAAAGGAGATGAAACAGCGGGAGTTGGCAATCAGCACCAGCCTGGCGGAGTTGGGGGCACTCGCGATCGGGGTTGTATTGGTGCATGCTGTTCTGAGCCCCCCGTTTCAAGAGTCTGGCATTTGCTGGGGAGTAAGATTGCTAATGTGCGCCAGCAACAAAACCGTCGCAATCGAAAACCGATAGTCTTTTCAGGCACAAGCCGTGAGAAGCATGACTAGATTCACCCATTCGGTTCGGTGCGAAAGGAAAGGGAAGAGTGGAACAGGGGTGCAAGGAGAGGTTAGCAGGGAGGAACAGAGCGACGACGACGGCGACGGCGGCGGCGATTAGGCTGCAGGAAAAAAGTCCAGGCCGCGCTGGCCGCCGTCGCCTCCAGCCTCTCCAGCGCAATGACCTTCGTGGGCGAGAGGGTCCCCGCACGCCCCGGCGAGCGCCCCCCGAGGATGCAGGAAGCGGAGGAGGAGCAGGAGGAGGCGGAGAAAGAGGAGGAGAAGGACTAGGAGGTAAATAATGTGGAGGGGGAGAAGGAAGAGGAGGAGAAGGAAGAGGAGGAGGAGGAGGAGGAGGAGGAGGAGGAGGAGCAGGAGGAGGAGGAGGAGGAGGAGGAGGAGGAAGGGGATCACCAGTAGGGGGGTGCCAGCTTCTCCTGAGGATCGACGCTCGGGGGCCGAGGGGCCAAGGAGGTTGTTAAACGATTGCGGGCGTTCGGGCGGCCTGGCGGAGTTGGGCAGCCATCTTTCTATGCACATCTGCATATGAGGCGTTCCAGAAATAGCCTGGCCGTCGAGGATCGCAGGAGTGGTCATCTCTTCCTGGGCGGAAGCTGGCGGAAGGCCCCTGGAAGGCGACGGAAGTAAAACGAGGCCTTTTCCGCCGGCGGAAGGCAGCAGCAGAAGGCAGGCGGAAGGCATCTTCGTGCTACTGCTCGTGCTACTGCTCATGCACCGAATCCGTGACACATGCATTTGCCTTGATATGTGAGCCCAAGTTGTTTGTGTTGGGCCTGGCAGGCGGTGTGGAGAGTACATGTGGTGCGTCGCGGTCGTCCCCTTCAAAAAAAAAGAACAAAAAAAAGGCAGGCGGAAGGCAGGCGGATTCAAAACCAAGGCAGGCGGTTTAAAACCAGGTTTCCAGAACCCGCCATATATATAGGGTTTCCAGAACCCGCCATGTATATATAGAGAGAGAGGAACAGAGAACCACAGAAAAGCCATTCTGCACAGCTTGGATGCCGTATTGACCGTCATGGAGGTCATCCAGGGCCATCTTAGCTATCTTCGTATTCATACGAACCGTGCCACAGGAGCCCTCGGTGAAGCTCCCTATGGGGTCACGGAACGTTTGAGGGGTGAGGTGTGTGCTGGGGGTGAGGGGCAGCGAGGGAGGGAGGGGAAGGAGGAGGGGGGAGGGAGGGATGGAGGGGGCGAGGGAGGTGACGGAGGGAGGGAGGGCGAGGGCGAGGGGAGGGAGGAGGGGGAAGGGCGAGGGAGGGAGGAGGGCCAGGGAGGAGGGGGGAGGGCGAAGGAGGGAGGGGAAGGAGGGGAGGGAGGGGGGGAGAGGGGGGGACAGTGGGCGATGGAGGGAGGGAGGGCGAGGGAGGGAGGGAGGGCGAGGGAGGGGAAAGGAGGGGAGGGAGAGGGCGAGTGAGGGAAGTGAGGGGGGAGGGAGGGAGGGGATGGACGGGGGAGGGAGCGAGGGGGAAGGAGGCACGCTAGGTGCGCTCGCGCCATATCTGACGTCCTATCCCTCCCTCCCATTCCTTACCATGGCGTAGATCTCCTTCCTATTCGCACAATCGGATGTCGCAATATGGCATAGCACTACATGGCATGGCATGGTGTCGAAGAGCAACGCGTAGCATGACGTAGCCTGACGTGGCGACGCCCCAAAGGGGGGGCTTCTGCGGCTCAAAAAATCAACGAATCGACACCGAATGTGGAATCACGTCCGATGGTTATTTTGGGAGGAATTTTTCCAGATTCTGGGGTCATTTGGAAAGACCGAAACCATGCCGTGGCATGGCGCTAGAAAGAATGACGCCAGCGCTGCAGTGGGAGCACGATTCGGAACGTGCGGAAGGGCGGAAATGAGGCCAGCGCTGCAGCGGGAGCGCGATTCGGAGCGAGCGGTAGCCCGAACATGAGTCCAGCGCATCAGCGAGAGCAGCATTTTGAGGCATAACAAAGCGCGGCAGCGCGGAAATGAGGACGCGTAGCCTGACATAGCATAGCGCGGCGACGCCCCGAAGTTGGGGGGGAGAGGCTTCTGCTGCCCCAAAATCAACGAATCGACACCGAGTGTGGAATCACGTCCGATGTTTTTTCTTCGGGGGGGGCGGGTGGCATTTTCTAGATTTTGGGGCCTACTTGGAAGGACCGAAAACCATGTTGTGGCATGGCGCGCGAAATAGTGATGCCAGCGCTGCAGCGGGAGCACGATTCGGAACGAGCGGTAGACCGGAAATGAAACCAAGCGAAAACCCAACTCCCAGGAATCCTGCGTGTAAAAAACCAGTGCGCGGAGGGGGGCCAGACATTCTCCGGACGTCACCAGGGGAGAGAGGAGAGTAGTATTCATATTGTAATTGCGGAGGGAGGGAGCGGAGAGGAGGGAGGGAGGGCGAGGGAGTGAAGGGAAGCGAGGGAGGCAGGGGACGGAGGGGGGAGGGAGGGAGGGGGAAGGAGAGGGAGGGAAGGAGGGGAGAGGAGGGAGGGAGGGCGAGGGAGACAAGGGAGGGAGCCTCCTTCAGGCCGCCTGCTCCGTGCCAAAAGCGGCCCTGCGCTGCGCTCGCGGGCCGGCCGCACCCATGCCGCACGGGCCTCTGGCGCCAGGGCGCCGGGCCGGGCGGAGGCAGGCCGGGCGCGGCCTGTGGGCGCCGCTGTGCGCCGTCGGTTGCGCAGGCCTTGCCCCTCAGGGGGAGGAGGGGGAGGGGGTGATGATGACGATGACGATGCTGTTTTGAGATGGTGATGATGATGATGATGATGATGATGATGATGATGATGATGATGATGATGATGATGATGCTGATGCTGATGCTGATGCTGATGCTGCTGCTGCTGCTGATGATGATGATGATGATGATGATTTGAATTGATGTTCTGAGATGATGATGATGATGATGATGATGATGATGATGATGATGATGATGATGCTGATGCTGATGCTGATGCTGATGCTGATGCTGATGATGATGATGATGATGATGATGATGATGATGATGATGCTGATGCTGATGCTGATGCTGATGATGATGATGATGATGATGATGATGATGATGATGATGATGATGATGATGTTTTCGTCGTGAGCGCTAGGCCTGGGCGTCTGGCGTGTCTTGAGTGGCTCTCTGGGACTCTGCCTACCCTTGCAGGGGGAGGGAGGAGGGGGGAGGGGGAGGAGGCACGCTAGGTGCGCTCGCGCCATACCTGACGTCCTACCCCTCCCTCCCATCCCTTACCATGGCGTAGATCTCCTTTCTACTCGCACAATCGGATGTCGCAGCATGCCATAGCATCACATGGCATAGCATGGTGTCGAAGATCAACGCGTAGCATGACATAGCTTGGCGCGCCCCATCTGCGGCTCAAAGAAATCAGCGAATCGACACTGAATGTGTAATCACTTTCGATGGTTATTTCGGGAGGCCATTTTCCAGATTCTTGGGCCGATTTGGAAAGACCGAAAACCATGCCGTGGCATGCCACTGGAAATAATGACGCCAGCGCTGCAGCGGGAGTACCATTCGGAACGTGCGGAAGGGCGGAAATGAGGCCAGCGTTGCAGCGGGAGCGCGATTCGGAGCGAGCGGTAGCCCGAACATGAGTCCAGCGCTTCAGCGAGAGCAGCATTTTGAAGCATAGCAAAGCGCGGAAGCGCGGCAATGAGGACGCGCAGCCTGACTTAGCATCATAGCGCGGCGACGCCCCGAAGTTGGGGGTGGGAGGGGCTTCTGCTGCCCAAAAATCAACGAATCGACACCGAATGTGTAAACACGTCCGATGTTTTTTTTTCGGAGGGGGGCATCTTCTAAATTGTGGGGCTCATTTGGAAGGACCGAAAACCATGTCGTGGCATGGCGCTGGAAATAATGACGCCAGCGCTGCAGTGGGAGCACGATTCGGGACGAACGGAAGCGCGGAAAGTAGGCCAGCGCGACAGCGGGAGCGCGAATTCGGAACGAGCGGTAGCCCGAACATGAGGCCAGCGCTTCAGCGAGAGCAGCAGTTTGGAAAAACAACCCAGCGCGGAAGCGCGACAATGAGGACGCGTAGCCTGACATAGCATGGCGTGGCGACGCCCCGAAGCGGGGGGGCTTCCGCAGCCCAAGAAATTGACGAATCGACGCCGAATGTGTAAACACAACCGATGTTTTTTTTTCTCCCGGGGGGGGCATGTTCGTCAGATTCGGGGGCTTATTTGGAAAGACCGAAAACCATGCCGTGGCATGCCACTGGAAATAATAACGCCAGCGCTGCAGCGGGAGCACGATTCGGAACGTTCGGAAGCGCGGAAAGGAGGCCAGCGCTGCAGCGGGAGCGCGATTTGAAACGAGCGGAAGCCCAGAAATGCGGCCAGCGCTGCAGCGGGAGCAGCATTTTCAGAAAACAAGCCCAGGCGAATACCCAATTCCAGGGAATCTTGTGTGCAACAAACTAGTACGCGGAGGGGGGCTGGGAAAGAGGAGCGTATTCATATTGTGTAATTGTGGAGGAGGAGGGGGCGGGGGGATGGGGAGGGGGGAAGGCAAGCTAGGTGCGCTCGCGTCATATCTGACGTCCTACCCCTCCCTCCCATCCCTTACCATGGCGCTGATTTTCTCTATCCGCGGACGCGTGTCGTAGCGGACCTGTGGCTCCGCGCGCGCGTGCGTAGTGGGTGGTGGTGCGCGTGCGTGCGTGCGTGCGTGCGTGTGTGCGTGGTTGTCGTGGTGGTGGTGGTGGTGGTGGTGGTGGTGGGTGGTAGTGGGTGGTGGTGGTGTTGGTGGTGGTGTGGTGGTGGTGGTGTGTTGGTGCTGGTGCTGGTGCTGGTGTGGTGGTGGTTGGTGGTGGTGGTGGTGGTGCGGCGCGGTGATGGCGGGCGGATGGGCGCGCGAGAAAGAGGCCCGCGCTGGGGCGAGAACGCCATCCTGAACGACGGAGGCCAAACACCGATCCGAAAATGAGGCCCACGCTGCAGCGGGAGCACGATGCGGAACGATTCGGGGGCAGAAATGAAGCCGGCGCCTCAGCGAGAGCAGCATTTTGGAAAAAACGCAAGCGAAAACCCGTTTCCCGGGAATCTTGTGTGTAAAAAAACAGTACGCGGGGGGGTCGGATATCTTCGGGACGCCATCAGGGGAAGTGGGAAATTATTTTCATATTGTGTAACTGTGGAGGTGGAAGGGGCAGGGGTTATTGGGAGGGGAGGGGAGGGGTGAAAGGGGGAGGTGGGAGGGGAGGTCGCAACAGTTCGGACACGGGGGTCCAGGCCGGCGGGTGCTAGCGCCGCTTGGGCCATCCTCGCGGTGGCGGGAGGCGCCGCTTGACAAACAGGGTTGGAACAAATCTGCCCCATGGCGCGGTCAAAAATTGCTCCAACTGGAGAAAACGGATGACGGGTCTGTTTTCCACCACCACCACCACCATAAGTTGGAGGAGGAGGGGGTCATCCTCCTTCTCCTCCTCCTCCTCCTCCAGCCCCTCGCGCGCCCAGGAGTTTTCTGGAGCAGGGGCAGGCGCGACCACCGTACGGAAAGGGTCCTCCGCCACATCTCCGCCCCCCAGGCCCCCACCGCGCTGAGATGCATGATGTGTCCTTCGCCTCTCGCGTGCGCGCTGGCAGCCCTCTGTAATATGTTCACGTATGTGGCATGGAACTGCCACCATGGGGATTTTGAGAAGCACTTCGACATCTCAGAGGAGTTCAAATGTACTGACATAGTGGCATTCACAAGCACGGGGGAGCGTGCCGCAGACGACAAACTACCTGTGTATTCGGATCAGCGATACCACTTTGTGACCAGATGTGGCTGCGTCCCAGGTGCGCACGTCACAAAAGCATGCGGAGTCTCTCTCCTCCTGCCCAAGCGGGTGTTGAAGAAACGTGACGTGTACGATGTGCCGACGATACCAGTGTCTCTTCACGGCAGGGTGGCGGTGTTCCGACTGCGATCGGGGCGCTTCGGTGTGGTTCTTCCGATTCTGTATTTCCCACCTCGCCCGTCGGCGCGGAAACAGGGACGAGAGACGGTAGCGTCAGGTGCAAGTCTTCAGGCGAGGTATCGGGCCACGGTCCATGAGATGTGCCAGTGGCTAGGGCGCACGCTGACATGGACGTGCAGGCGTTCGTCGTTGCGGATGGGTTTCGGCTTGAACGATTCGTTCGGAGTCCGCCAGGTCAAGGGCCAGCAGGTGCGCGTGTCCTCGCCCGCGCTTGGCCCGTTCGCGCAGGACCTCCAGAGGTTCGCTGCGGACCAGGTGATCGAGACCTTCGAGAGACATGCGGTGAAGGTGACCTCGACGTTCTACAATGTGGGGGCCACCTATTTCGGACATCGGGGGTCGAGCTGCATCGACGTCGTAGCGGTCTACGACTGGCAGATGGCGCACGTGAGCACGTGCTTTGCGCTTCGCAAAAAGAACCTGCGCCTCAAGCTGAACCTGCAGCAGGGTCTCCAAGACCATGTGCCGATCTGGCTGAGACTGGACTGCGACTTCAGCTTCAAACCGCAGCAGGCGCCGCCTGCGCGATGTGACTTTGACAAGCTAGCGGCGGCGCTGGCGAAAAGGCGCGGGGGTGGATAGCTTCATGGGCGACCTCGAGCAGCAGTTCCAGGAGACGGGCGGCTTTTATGATGTGCTGCTCCACGCGCCGTCGCCCGGCGCGGCGTGGGAGCGGCGGTCGCGGTCGCGCGCGAGACGGCCTCCCGCCACTTCGACTGCGCGGCGACGCAGGATTTTGTGAAGCTCGAGCTTGTACTGGAGCGCAGCCGTCTTCTTCGAGCTCGTCGGGGCGAACGGGCACGCGGCGATGCTGGTGCAGAGGCGGCCTTGCAGGTGACGCGGCGCTCGCGGCGGCTCTGCTGACTGCGGAGGCGGCAGTTCGAGGGGGCCACGACCCAGCTCGTGGAGGAGATCGGGGCGGCGTGGAAGGGCCAGCGGCGTGCGGAGGTGTGGGGGCTGGCCCGCAACCTCGCAGGGCGCTGCAGCGGGCCGAGGCGTCGTCGCTACAACCTGGCGGAGACGTTCGCGCCGAGGGCGTCGGAGGTCTGCGAGCACTTCAGTGGGCCTGGACACGCTGGCGTGTTTTCGGCGGTGCCTGTCGCTTACGCAGAGTACCAGCAGGAGCTACTGACGGGTCTGCCGCAGCCAGCGCCCATGGGTAGCGACATCTACGCGCGCGTGGAGCAGGCCCGCGACGACCTCGAGATGGCGGTGGGGCTCGCCGCCACGGCGCCGCGACGGAGGGCAGTTCCCCTCCACTCCGTGCCGACAGAGGTGCTGATGACGGCGTTGGATCCAAACAGGCGCTTCGGCGGCAGCTATAGGAAGCCTCGACGACGGGGTGGCGAGGAAGGCGGCGACGATGGCGATGCTTCTGCGCGCCCTCGCCCGCGCCCGCAGTCCGCCCCCCGCGTTCGACTGGGCGGCGATCGTCGGGGCCTGGGCGCGGGGCAGCAGCTCGAGACCATCGACAACGAGCACTGCTTCAAAGCGCTGCTGAAAGGTCTTCGCACATATTCGGCGAGCACGGCTGGCCCCAGCGGCGCGGCGTCGCAGCGGGGCGACGGGTTTGGGCAAGCACAAACACAAGACGTTTTTTTCGGCAAGGCGCTACATACACGGGCTGCGCAGGCGCAGCTTCGACGTGGCCCCGAAGATGTGGCCCCAGATCGCGAGCGCGGTTGCCTGACGGGCCG